CTTTAGTTTATATAATTTCCAGCCTCAGGTGTTTTGTTATAGCAACACAAAATGGACTAAGACCAAGATGAAGGAGAAGGCAACCTTATACTTCTACTAATAAAAGGATCAGACTGAGAGGTAAGAGGAGAACCAAAAGAAAATGACATCATCTACCAAAAAAGGAGATGCTTTAATAAACGGTTGCTAGTCAACTATACTAAATACCAACACAAAGGACAGGTAAGAAAAGGAATAGAAAGCAACCAGAGGATTTGGTAATCAGTAGATTCTTGGTGAATTTGGAAATCCTCGTTGATAGTAAGAACAGGATAAGAACAAAATCCTGATGCCCTGAGTAGGCATCAATGAGAAAGGCAACATGCCTCATCAACATCTCTCACTGTGCCCTGCTCCAGCCATTCTCATTTGGGAAAAGGGCGTCACATGGACCCATAGCCCAAGTCAAAACTCCAGCAGCCACCTTGGACCTGCTCTTTCCTTTATCTCACAATTCAGTCCTGTCTCCAAGATAAATCCCAAATCCTTCTCACTCTCAAGGAGAACCCCCTCTCTCCTTCCTGGTGATGGAATAGATTCCTAACTGATTTCCTTTCTACCTTCTTTATTATCTTTCCTATAATCCATTCTTCCCAGGACAGCCATATGGTCTTTTAAAACTGGTAGATCAGACCGTATATTACTCTTTGCAAAATCCTCCTCAATGATTCTACCTCACTTAAAACTTTTTTTCTAACCACTTACCCTGCCCCGCGATCAGTTTGGAACTCTTCTGCTTCCTGACCTGATCTTCTTTTACTGCACTTTGAACATGAGCACGTTTCCTTCTCTAAACTTCTTCCCACCCTTGCATTTACTCTTCCATTTGTAAGGAATGCTCTTCTTCAGATTTTCCCAACCCTAAACCCGCCCTCTTTATTTTTTATTTTGAGACAAGTTCTCACTAAATTGCCAAGGTTGGCCTCAAACTTGAGACCCTCCTGCCTCAGCCTTCAGAGCTGCCAGGATTACAGACATGCACCACTGCACCCAGTTCTTCTTCAGATTTTAGAAGAGGTGCCACTTCTTGTCCTTGATTCGGGACCAGCTTCGTGTACCAGCCACCTGCACCCTGCCCTTGGAAGGGCTCTCTTGTAGTTCTTAATAATTTTTTAACACAGGATCCACATTTTCATTTTGTGCTGGGCCCTACAAATGACATAGCTGGTTCAGCTTTCAGGGATCATGTTAGGAGTCCCTTTGTCTGAGAGCCTTCCTTGGCCACCCATCCTAACGTAGCCCCTCCCCTTGTAAGTTACTTGCTACCACATTACTCCCATTTCATTTGCTTTATAACAGTGTTCATCTTCTGATACTTCCTTGCTGTGGGCTTCTTTGTTACAATGCAACACAAGCACTTACAAAGCAGAGACCTCCTTATCCTCAGCATGTGGGACATAATAGATGCCCAGTGTACATTTGCTGAATAAATTATTCCAAGAACCTATACTTGCTGAAAGCAAGAGAAGCACTATGCTGGGTGTCATGAAAATTTAAAACATTTGATATTTATAGTCATTCTAATCAATAATTAGATTTGTGTAGTGCTGGTCTAAACAAAAATTCCAGTTTCACGATGATGCTAAATGGGATACAATTTCCTCATATTATATTCAAACTTGAATTTAGAAGTTTGTTGTTGTTGTTATTGTCGTTTTGTTTTGTGTTAGTCTTTGCAGTACTGGGGCCTAGCATGCACTCTACCACTGAACTACATCCCTGGACACTTTTTTCCTGAATTTTATTTGGAGAAAAGGTCTGGCTAAATTGCTGAAGCTGGCCTTGAATTTGTGATCTTCCTGCCTCAGCCTTACAAGTAGCTGGGATTACAGGTGTGTGGCACAGCAACTGGTTTTTATGAAGGCGTTTTGTTTTGTTTTGTAGTTTTGTACTGGAGGTTGAACCCAGGGTGCTTTACTAGCTACATCCATCCCCAGCCCTTTTTTTTTTTTTTTTTTTTTTTTTTTTTAATTTTGAGACAGGGACTTGCTAAGTTGCATAGGACCTAGCTAAATTGCTAAGGCTGACCTCAAACTTGTGGTCCTCCTGCCTCAGCCTCCCAAGTCAATGGGTTAACCGGCATGTACCACCATACCCTACTTCATGAAAGATTTTGAAGTCTGAATTCAATGTTTACTTTTGCTACTTAAAATAACATGAGCTTAAAATAACATTTTTAGTTTAGTGTGAATTTTTAAATTGTTATACTTTCCACTTACGTTGTACTCTATGGCTCAATAAAACATTTATGTTTGTTTTGACCTACTCAGCAACTCTATATACTATGCAACTCTACCTGTAATTTTTCATTTCGCAGATTGCTTCAAATCACTTATTACTCTCCAACTACACTGCTGCTTGGGGAGAATACATGAATAATAATCACAGAACTTGAAAGCAGGGAAAAACAGTAGAAAATATTTCTACCAACACTCTCCTTTTTATTTTTAAATTTAATTTAATTTTTTTGGCATCAGGGATTGGAACCAGAGGCATTTAACTACTGAGCCACATCCCCAGTCCTTTTTTTATATTTTATAGAGAGACAAGGTCTTGCTGAGTTGCTTAGGGCCTCACTAAATTGCTGAGGCTGGCTTTGAACTTGTGATCCTCCTACCTCAGCCTCCCAAGCCGCTGGAATTACAGGTGTGCACCACTGCACCCAACCTAACACTCTCATTTTTAGATGAAGACTCCTAAATTCAAAGGCACAGGATCATGAGACGATTGTGTGGCAGAGATTTTGATAGAATTTGATCTCTTAAAGCACTGATCTTTGTACTATCCCAGTGGTCCTTTCTATCAAGAGTAAGGGGAGGGCTTAATCTTTTAACCTTCCAGAAGTCTCTACCTCCTGAATGTTCACCATCTTAACATCGCCATACTGAAGACCAACCTTCCAACACATGAATCCTTGGATGGATAAACCACATCAAAACCTCAGCAGGTATAAATCAGAGATGATATTGACAAGTCCATTATGGCCACAGTTCTGCCCAGGCCTGAACTCAAGACAATAAACTAACATGTTGAAGTCCATCCCTGAGAGTCCTCTATCAATTTCTCCGCTGATACCACATACATCCTCTTACTATCTTTCTCTTTTAAAATACTTTTTTAGTTGTAGATGGAAACAATATCTTTATTTCATTCATTTATTTTTATGTGTTGCTGAGGACAGAACCCAGTGCCTCACACATGCTAGGCGAGAGCTCTACTGCTGAGCCACAACCCCAGCCCCCCTCTTCCTATTAGATGACCTTGCTTTAGGTCTCCTCAATTGCCAACCATCTATAATATTTTATAAGCCACTTAAATCTTGAGCATACTAAGGTCATCATTATTAAAGTAACCAATTCACATGAAATATTCCTTAATCTTAAGGACAAAATGGCAGCTGTGAAAACAGATGATGTAATTTGAGGAAGAACCTTCATGGAAGTTTAAAGATATTTCAAAAGTAATTAGTATTAGTAATGAAATTCTGTTCTCAGAAATTACACATAAAGAGGAAACATGAATTAAAGAAAAAAAAATCTGCTACTCAATTTCTTAAACATCCGGTTCCATTTTCAACAAAATCTGGGCTCCTTGAAAAGGAATGTGCAGATGCCAGCCATGACTTCAAATGGCCCCAAAAGCAGACAGCAGCAAATTAATGAGCCAAGGGTGTGTAGAATCGGAGCAGAGCTGCATGGTTTCCTAGGACTCATTCTTCCAGAACTGTGCTCTTTTTTCCCTGAGAAAAATACCCAACATGGGGCTGGGGATATTACTGCATACAAGGTGAGCTCAGTTGGTAGAGTGCTTACCTTGTATGCACTAAGGCCCTGGGTTCAATCCCCAGTACCATCAAAAAAAAAAAAAAAGAATATATAACATGTTACCTCCTCTACTGGCCAACCAGTCATCACTCAGGATGTGACATGTCTTTTTGTAAGTGTGGATTGTAGTTGCTCAAAAGTGAAATTGTGCTGTTAAAAATAATAATAGGGGGCTGGGGTTGTGGCTCATCGGTAGAGCACTTGCCTAGTGCATGCAGGGCCCTGGGTTCAATCCTCAGCACCACATGAAAATAAATAAATAAAACAAAGGCATTGTGTCCAACTATACCTAAAAATATATATATTTAAAATAATAATAATAATCATCATCCCAGGCAGCTTGGGAGACGAGGCAGGAGGATCGTGAGTTCAAAGCCAGCCTCAGCAAAAGTGAGGTGCTAAGCAACTCAGTGAGACCCTGTCTCTAATAAAATACAAAATAGGGCTGGGGATGTAGCTCCGTGGTTGGGTGCCCCTGAGTTCAATCCCCAGTACCCAAAATAATAATTCAAGTTTTGCTTTGAGTTGATGTTTTCTACAGAGAGATGAGATTTCCTACTGAAACACAATTAGTAGGTAATCAAGACAGCTAAAGTGGGGTGTGGGTCCTCTAATTGCTCAGTCCCTGTGCCCAAGCAAAACTCTAGGTTATATGTTGCCCAGAGACAAGGACCAAACTCTGAGGGCCTTCGTAAAGCAGGTGGACCAATTCAGAACGGTCTATCTCTTTAGAAAAGTACTGAGCACATAGTAACTACTGACTGGCTGAGATGAGCTCTCAAACTTTCATAGGGGGGGCAGTAGCCAGGAGGCAGAGGGTGGGGTGGGCAAGACCATCTTGCAGTTTCATCAGCCAGAGACACCATGGCTCTAGGTTCTAGAGCTGGCCCTGGTAGCTACCAGATCTCCAAACTGTTTTCAAAGGAATTACTAGGAGCCACATTTTCAATTCAGCTAATCAATTAGCAAGTTGTAGTGGACCTGAAATACTCATCTACTGAATTATTCATGAATTAGGTTTTTATATAATTAGAAGTGGTAACATCATTTGTTTTTATCATTTCTTATAGCAGAGGGAAAAAAGAATACTTATATAATTGTTTGGATTTCTTTACTTTTATTTTTTGGGTGCTGGAGATGGAATCAAGGGCTTCTTGCATGTTAGGCAAGCACAAGACAGAGCCATACCCCAGTCCCTATGTAAGTATTCTTTTCAAAATGGTTTATCTTAGAGTTTACTTATTTTCATGTTGTTGCTTCTATTTCCAATCTAAGATATTTGTTTTACCTATGTTTATGTGAAATTTATACATGTCATGAATTTCAAATTAAAAAGATATTTTTAAGGCTTTAGAGAGTCCTACCCAACTAGAACTGTATTTGTGTAAAACTAGGCAGGCCAAGGTCATTGTTCTGATTGTGGGCCCAGTCTGCCCTCTAGTGTTTCTTTTTTAAACCATGCCAAATTTTAAACCAGAGTCTTAATCTCAAAATATTGTTTTAATAGGATTAAGAACTGTGTCATCAAATTAACAGAACAGAGCCAAATCCCTGACACAGATGAGAATTAAATCAGAGGAAAGTACGGATCCTTCTAGAAACATCCAGTTCCATTTCTCTGGGAAAACATCACAAAGTTCGTGGTAAATATACTTTATTAAATTTCATCTGGTAAATAGGGTATTAATAGAAAAAAATTAGCTCAAATGACATGTAAAATGTGATCACTGTGGTCACTACTATACAGCTCTTATTTTATTATAGTGCTAAAATATTTCAAGTGTTGATTAAATAATGTAAGTTTTTGTTATTGTTTTTAATACAGCAAATACACAGAAAGCAGATAAATATCTCCTTTGGAGGAAGTCAAGATAATTTGTCTTAATTTACAGATTTAACTTTATTAAAGCACACAGTTGTTTTTATTTAACTTTTCTTAGTAAAGTTTTAAGTACTTGTATTTGGAATATCTTTAACTAATGTATGTCAAGTCAAATTTATTTATTTATTTATTTAGGTACTGGGGATTGAACCCAGGGGCACTTAACATCTGAACTGCCTCCATCCCCAGTCCTTTTATTTTGGGTTGGATTTTTCTAATTTGCTTAGAGCCTTGCTACAGTGCTGAGGCTGACCTCAAACTTGTGGGCCTCTGTCTTTAACCTCCTGAGTTGCTGGGATTATAGACATGTGCCACCATGCCCAGAGTCCAATTATATTTAAAAGGAAATTAGTTATCTGAGACAAAATCTAAATGTGCACTATTCATATAGCATCACAAGTTTTATAAGAAGCAGGAGAAAAATATGTGAGATTCTTTTTCCTTCATAAAAGAGTAAAGCCTAGTAGTGCTGAGGCAGAAGGATCCTAGGACTTAGAATTTCAGTGACGTATTATAATTAATTCTGTCTTAAGAGATGTTTACTGATGACAAGAAAATAAAATGGGGCTGTGATACACATTATCCATTGCCTCAATGTTCAAATACATCCAGGACGACTTTATTTAACTGTCACAAAAAGTGTAAACTAAACAGGGACCCCAGGTTGTTGGTTTTTTTTAACTTATATCTTAACTTTCCCTATGTCCCAGGCATATGAACCTAGGATGTCTAAAGTCATAAAGAAAAATTGACAGAAAAATGCATTGGAGCCCATGTGTTTTCAATTGATGCCAACAGAAACTAACCTCATAGAAGACACGTGATGCAGTTTATTTTTCCTTTGCAGTAACAGCAGGAACATGAAGCCGCCACTCTTGGTGTTTATTGTGTATCTGCTGTGGCTGAAGGATTGTCACTGTGCACCTACTTGGAACGACAAAACTGCCATCGGTGAAAACCTGAAGAGTATGTTTGGTTTCTTATCTGTGCGGTGTCCTGTTTGCATGTTTTCCTATCCTGCTGGCATTTATAGTGACTGAGAGTGGTTTATAGAGAGATAACGGTATTCACTACATCTCACTGTGAGAAGTTCTCTGGGCACTGAAACCACGTCGTCATGATGCCAAACATCTGGATAAAAATAGAAAATTCCAATCAAGTCTCTGCAAGCGAGTGTTCCCATATCCAGATGTTTGCTATCCTGTAGATAAAACGTGCCTGCTTTTTTGACTGCCTTTTTTGGTACCATCCAGATGTTCGGTGTCATCTCAGCACTGCTTTAATGAACAGTGAAATACTTTTCTAGCATTTAGGGAATTTAAACCATTAGAGTAATCTGTGTAATTGTTCTTAAACGAGCAAAAGAATGGGTTATAATTACACTCAATCTGGTTGTTTCTGTGCATTGACTTGTGACCTTTCTTAGTGACACAGGTTTGGGGTACTTAACCACTGAGACGAATAAATTAGCTAAAATGGGGCTGATTTGGAGTCTATAATTAAATTCAGAGGCAAGAACAAGCTTCTCAGGAGGCTGCACTGGCTACTGAGAAGAAAGAAAGACAATACAATTTACACCCACTTAGGGCTTATGAAAGGTGGGAAAGAGATATCCACTAGGTTATGAAGGAATCTTGTTGTATGCGATTCTTTCTTGGTTTGATGACTTCTTGGAAGGTAATTAAAATTGAAAAAGGGAAATCGTTCATTGTGTTTGAAGTCCCCACTTGAGACTTAAATGGAAGGGAAAAATGGATAAATGAAAATAAGGTCTGCAAAAAACGACAAGAACGAGATTAAATGAGCTCTGACTTGTTCAGGAGCTTTCAAGTAAGGGACAGAAGGTATTATCCATGTGGCAGCTGACAGCTAATTCATTACAATCTGCTTTCAAAATACGAGTCTGTAAGAACAATGAAACCTCTATTAAGGAGACACGAAATATTGGTGAACTCATTGTTTATTAATCTAATCAGATCTTTAAAAACAAACAAACAAACAAAAAACTCCTGCAATGCATCTTTCAGGTTTTTCTGAGGCTGGGGAGACAGATGGAGATGGAGAGGTGAAGAAGGCTTTGATTGGTATTAAGCAGATGAAACTCATGATGGAAAGAAGGGAGGAAGAACATACCAAACTAATGACAACCTTGAAGAAATGCAAAGAAGAAAAGCAGGTACCATAAATAAAGAAAAAACAATCTGTTCTTTTTTTATTTTTTATTGTTTTGATGCCTTATAATTATACATAATAATGGAATTCATTATGCATTATTTGTACATGAATATAAAACTTTTTTTTTGTATCAGGGATTGAACCCAAGGATACTTAACTACTGAGTCACATCCCCAGCCCTTTTTATATTTTTATTTAGAGACATGCCTCTCTAAATTGCTGAGACTGGCTTTGAACTTGAGATCCTCCTGCCTCAGCCTCCCAGGCTGCTGGGATTACAAGCATATGCCACCACACTTGGCTTATTCTTAGACCTTTTTGATTTAGGATATCGAGTCAAAAGTGTTCAGGGAACTTGGGGGCTAGATCAGTCATCTCCAACATTTTTTCATCTGCCATCCTTATAACTAAAAATGTGTTAGCACTCACTACTAAATATGTGCATATTATTTTATTTGTAAACTAGATACATGAATTGCTACCATTAGTATCTCGAGGTACAACATGTATTTTTGGGTGAGGTTCATCATCAGATCCACACTTCAAAATAATCAAGATATTTTGAAAGTCTTAGCTGATTAGCTCATTATAGTTTTACTTTGTCATGTGGCCAACACAGAGCTCACGATGAAGAGTGGTCACTCTGTCATGTGCTTTTTATGCATTTACACTTACATTATTCATATTCGTGTTTTAATAGTCCAGGTCTCCCTCATCCCAAGAATCTTTCTCTCCATTTTGTGAGGGTTAGTTTAGTTACAACTAGATAATAAAATCCATTGGTCCACCTGAATCCTCTCAAACAGGGACTCATTATAATTTGTTTCAAAGGAACAGAGAGAGAGGGAGCCCTGACCAGTGTTCCAGAATGTGAAAGAATCCTTTTCCCTGGAAGACCTCACAGTTGACTACGTGCAATGTCTGACATGGGCACTCAAGAGAGCACCAGTGTACATTAAATATTGCATCAGCCAAATCTGTTTTATCTATTTTATCTTTTGTGGTGCTGGGGATTGAACCCATGTAAGTCTAGCATTCTACCATTGAGCTTCACCCCCAGTCCCTCATCTATTTTTAAAAATTCAAGTACAGCTTTACTAAATAGCTATAGTTCACACTATGTCTTTTACTAATACAGAATACACATTTTATACAAATGTCTTGAAAGATGTTGAGAATTGTTCATAAACTACTGTTAAAAAAAAAAAACTCTGTAAATTTCAAAAATATAGGACTGGGGTTGTGCCTCAGGGTAGAGGCCCTGGATTTGATCCTCAGCACCACATAAAAATAAATAAATAAAGGTACTGTGTCCAACTACAACTAAAAATAAATAAATAAATATTTTTAAAAAATTGTCCAAACTATAGACATTACATCATCAATAATTTAATAAATCAAACTGTTAAATAACAATTAACATAACACTCAAAATAATTACATTTTTTTAAAAAGATTACCTTCTAACATTATCCTTAATCCGAGATGAAATAAAAACTGTATCAAAAATAATGTCAAATTGTGGCAAAATATAAATAATATAAAATTTAAATTTACCAATCATAAATTTTTGGGGGGAAGCAGGGAGTTGAATCCAGGGCCTCACATGTGCTAAGCATATATTTACCACTAAGCAACCCTATCTTGGTCATTTTTAAGTGTACTGTTCAGCAGTATTTAGTTAAATATATTTAGAGTGTTGCTCAATCAACCTCCAGAATTCTTTTCACTTTGCAAAAACCCAAAATCCATGCCTATTCAACAACTACCCAATTCCCTTCCCCATATATGTGTTTGTGTACATCTAATGCATATACACATACATACACAAACATTTCAGTGTTGGAAATCAAACTTCCTCCATCCATTTTCAAATTAAAAAATACAAGCGGAGTTCTAACATTTCCTACCTCGACCTCTACACATACACCTATAAAGTCGGGGGCCGGTGAATTCCAGCTAACTGCTCACATCTCTTCCCTCCTGAGCATCCTGGCCTCTGAGAGTCCATTAAGCAACTAGAGCAGAGTCTGACAGGCTGGCCCCAAAGCAGTGTGTCAGCCTGTCACCAGGCCAGTTAATGCTCCAGCCACACCTACCGCCTGGAGTCAGGCTGGGTTCCTGGCAGGGAAAGGAGATTGCCTGACCAGCAGCTGCAAACCCTCCTCCTTTTGGCAGCAATTAAAAGATTTTGAGGAAATCTAAAATAGCTCAGTGTCAGGACAACATGGAAGTCCCTCAAGCTGGGTTCTACCCTGGTGGGCTTGTGAGTCTGGCCACCTGGGAATAGTGACGCTCAATGTCATTAACAGAGCTTTTACAAAACACATTATCACGTGGAATGCTTCAAACATCTGGGTAAACCATACTTTCATTTTACAGCTAAGAAAACTGAGGTTGGAGATGTTAATTAACATGTTACTCCAACGTTGAAAGGGCATGAACGGGGAGAAAGCCAGCAGATGTGTGCAGAGGGGACCCGGTGGCTTTGTGTTTTTCTCACTTTCTGGAGCCTCCTGGCAAGCGAAGGCTGTAGTACTAGGAAGAGAATATTCCAGTGAGGGGTGGATCAAGTAAGCAAATGTTGGTTTCAATTCTGGCCCAGCAACTGGGAGCATTTCTATTTATTCTTAAAAACCTACTTAGGACCCCAAAGCTTACTGCATTTGGGCACTCAATTAAAAAGTTAACGGAGCAGAAGGTCTTTAACCCTGAGTCTCTCTCCCTGAACTTACGGTAAACCTAGAATAAGGATCAATTTAGCCAAATTATGACTTGGTAAATATGGGGTTGGCGCACCCAGTCTCCTGGTACTGAGTACCACCCGTCGGGTGACACGACGTCATCACAGTCCCATGCCACTCCCTCCCCCCATTAATATTGATTGAGAGCATCTGGAACTTACTAAAATGAGAAAGCCACAAGTGGCCCATACTGATTTGTCCCCTATGTCAGGTTCCTGAGTATTTTAATGAGCTATGAACTGTAAAAATAGAGTTCTAGCAGTTGGGGAGGCTGAGGCATAAGGATTGCAAGTTCCAAGCCAGCTTAAGCAACTTAGTGAGGCCCTAAGAAACTCAGCAAGACCCTGTCTCTAAATAAAATACAAGTAAAAAGGGCTGGGAATGTTGCTCAGTGGTTAGTGCTCTGGGGTTTAATCTCCGATACAACAACAACAACAAAAAAGAAGAATATAGTTCTAAACGTGGACTCTGTCCATATCCATGGGTGGAACATTTAGGAGAAATAGAAGGTATAGTAAGACATTCCTAAACCAGAGATCTACTTCATCCAGGGCAACATTTCATTTTTAAAACTTGGGATGTTTGATTTGGTCAATGATCTTTGTTATGCTTCTAAATGGGTGAGTGAAAATAAGTCTGAGAATAATGAATTGTAAGAATGTGCTAATTGACTTGCTTCTTTATATCATTTAATACAAAAACCTTAAAAGGGAGCACGTACTATTATTCCAATTTGCTAATGAAGAGATGAAAGTTTAGATATATTAAGTAATTTGCCCAGGGATACACGGTGAGTATAGTTCAGAACTGGGAATACTGGGATTTTGGTTTAAGGGGATAATGTGTAGAATATTTAAAATTGGGTCTAACTGAGAAAACTCACGAGATATTGTTGCCTGCCGGAGTGAAACAACCATTCTTAAGAAGGTATAGGTTTCCAACATTGTTCTGCAAAGCCCAGGGGCACAAACACACAGATTCTGTTTGGGTTACCATATGCATTTGGCAGCCTGGGCCCTGCTGGTTTTCCATTGTGGGTGGTAGCAAATGCTACCTGGCTGAGCACCAGAACTCTGCAATGAGGCCAACTGAAAAATCCAAGCCAGACAGAGGAAATGTGGAAGACTGTCAGAGCCTGGGTGATTCTTTGGGCTCAATAGATAGAGTGGTTTCTTTTTCTTTTCCATTGTGTTAAAATAATGTACAATAATTTTTGTTTTGTACTGATATTGAGCCAGGAGTGCTTAACCACTGAGCCACATCCCTAGCCTTTTATTTTATTTTATTTTTTTGAGGCAAAGTCTCACTAAGTTGCTTAGGGCCTCGCTAATTTACTGAGGCTGACCTTGAGCTTGAGATCCTCCTGCCTCAGTCTCCTGAGTCACTGGAAATACAGATGGGTACCACTGTGCCCGGAAATAATTTGGTTTTAAGTACCAAAACTTTTTTTTTCTTCTATAGGCATTTTTCACTTACGGGAGAGGCCTTTAGTTCTATCTTTGTATGGACCGGCCCATTATGCTCTTCATCCCCTTAACTTCATCTAAGGCAAACAGGGGGTCAGTCTTAAAAGCCCACACTCAGAGGGAGGCCAGGGATCTAGGCAGGGGCACAAGAAGAAAGGCCCGATGTGCCATGAAGGCAGCTTTTGGGGACCTCCAGAGGCCAGGCTGAGGCTTTCAGGGACAGGTGCCCACTGCACTGGGCTGCTTCCCACTGGATGCAGGACCTGGCCCAAATACAGCCAGCACCACAAGGGGGAGTGCTTGGAATATACAAGAGGAGAATGAACATTCTCAAGAGACAGCTTCTCTGCAATTCAAATGTTAACTCAATGGGAAGATGCAAGAACTATACTTTCTTGTAGTGTATGAGAACATGCAACAATTAAAGGCAATATCAATGAAAGAAATAGATATCTTTATGAGTCTTACAGACCATCTTCCACATCCCCCGTAGACTAGACATGCAGAGGACAGGTAAGAAGGTTAAGTCACAGTGGTCCCCCCAGATAGGGGTGACATCTTTGTTGTTGGTTCACCCTCATCTAGTGTAATGTCCATCCACATAGCAAACACTCGATAAATCCTTATTGAACACATGAATAAACACATGAATAACATTTGCACAATCTCCAATAAAAACCAATCAGTGCTCCTCTCTTAAACAGAAAGCACTGCAGCAGATCTGTCAACGGCAAGGGGCCTGAACGAGGAAGGAGTAGTTTAGAATACATACATTTTTTCTTATCTTTGTTTTATTTATTTATTTTATGTGGTGCTGAGGATTGAACCTAGTACCTCATTCCTGAGAGGCAAGCACTCAACCATTAAGCTACAACCCCAGCCCCATACACACATTTTTTAAAGAGTGGAATCAACTAAGGCACACAGAGAATCATGAAATGGAAATAGGACTCGTTTCTCTACTTTTTTTATATATTTTTTTATTGGTTGTTCAAGACATTACAAAGCTCATGATATATCGTCTTTCATACATTTGACTCAATTGGGTTATGAACTCCCATTTTTACCCCAAATACAAATTGCAGAATCACATCGGTTACACACTCACATTTTTACATAATGGCATATTAGTGACTGTTGTATTCTGCTACCTTTCCTATCCCCTACTATCCCCCTCCCCTCCCCTCCCATCTTCCCTCTCTACCTCATCTGCTGTTGTTCAATTCTCTCCCTTGTTCCCCCCCCCTTTCATTTCTCTACTTTTTAATTAGGGGGCTGTGAAACTCATGAATGAAGTTCAGGAACATCTGGAGGAAGAAGAAAGGTTATGCCAGGCATCTCTGGCTGATTCCTGGGAGGAATGCAGGACTTGCCTGGACAGTAACTGCATGAGATTCTATTCAACCTGTCAGCCTGGTTGGTCCTCGGTGAAAAATACGGTAAGAGGAAGGGAGAGCTCAAAATGTCAGAGCTCTAAAGGCATCTAGATCCGCTTTTTAAAATACATTTATATTCATATTTAGAATAGAGATGCCCAACTGGTATCAGCCTTTTGTCATCTAGAATCTAACACGAATGCTATGAGCCACCCTCTGTGTGTGTACAGCTTATAAGTTAGAACAACCATTCAGTATTTATCCTTCCTTTTAATGATACCAAAAATACCCTCTTTCAGCCTTGTATTTATTATTCACCAAGTTCCACTAGACTGTGAGCTCTTTGAGGACAGGGATCATATATTCTGCCTTCATTTGAGCATTGTAGTCATCCAATAAATGTTTGCTGAATTGTGTTCTCAATTATACAGCTTCAGTCTCTGATTCAATCTGCTTTCATTTTTCTCCACGAGAGGCCACATATATGAAGACATTCTCTGCCTCCTGAATCTCTTTGAATGCACACATCCTCTTGTGTGTAACACATACACATATGTGTATCCATACATACACACACACTTTCATGTCCCCTTTTATCCCTATATGTCCTAGGGAACTGGCATGTTTGTGTTTTGCCCCTTTGGCTATCTTTGGGGCAGAGGGAATCATAGAGGATGGTGACCTGAATAGAATGAGCTTTGCCCTATAAAAGGCTCCAACTGGCCTGAATTTTCCTCCTCCCTCATGAAGTGAGCAGAATATGAAAATTGACTAGAATTTTACTCTTCTAGTAGAGCACTCACTAATTAGAGGATGCTCCTGGCTTGGCAGTGCCATACTCAATTACAAAGGAGAACCCCTAGGATAAGGAGTGTGCCAAGCTAATTTGTCTCCACTGTTGATTGCATCTGCTTTATTTTAAAAGCCACTGTCATTGTCTAATACACCAGAATATGGTGGGATGAGCCCTGGCTGGAAGCCAAGAGATTTGGGGATCATTTCCACCTGGGCCAGTTGTGTGACCTTGTGTATATTTCTCAGGGCTCTCAAATATTTGTTGTCTTTGTCTTTTTTTTTTTTTGCATGGTCCCTCCATGCTGCCCAGGCTGGTCTTAAACTCCTGGGCTCAAGTGATCCTTCTCCCCAGCACCCCCATAACCCAGAATTAAAGTCTTGTTTTGGGGGATGGAGCCAAGTAAACAAAAGCTGGCAGAGTGAAAGGCAGACAGCTCACCCAGATAACTTTCTGGGAAAGTCACAAGTTCTCTAAAAATTCCTGGAGAATACTTTGCACAGTAGTGGGTGGTGCTATGGCAGTAATGTTCAATAGCCGATAACTTTATAACATTTAAAAAGGCAACTCTGGTCTGCCCAGGATTCCGTGTCAGAGATGAAGAAAAGCATACGGTAGATGCTGGAAAATCTTTTCCCCCTGAATGGTACCCCAAATTCTACAATTAGGGCTTCATTCCTTTGACTATAACCAGGAGGGCTTCCATCATTGCTAATAAGTAACCATCCCTAAATAACCCATTAAGCTATATCTGGTATCTAAATTCATTGTGGATGTATTGATCTTTTCCTTTCCATTTATGAGGTGAGAAAAAGGAGAGTATAAAGACTTTAATGATATTTCATTAAATAATTTTTTGTTTTTATTTTTTTTGGTACCAGGGATTATACCCAGGGGCACTTAATCACTGAGTGAGCCACATCCCCAGCCCTTTTTATATTTTATTTTGAGACAGGATCTTACTATGTTGCTTAAGGCCTTGCTAAATTGCTGAGGCTAGCTTTGAACTCATGATCCTTCTGCCTCAGCCTCCCAAACTGCTGGGATTACAGGCATGAGCCACTGTGCCCAGCTCACTAAAGAATTTTTTTAAAAAAATGAATGAAGACAAGTGAAGGACAAGAGCCTTCTCCACAGTTTTCTGACAATTTTGATGGTGCCCTTGAGGCAACAGCAAACCAACTACTGCCAGTGCCTCAAGTTACAACTGCTCAATTGTATTGTGAACTTGACCTTTCTAGACCATCAGTGGGCGAACCTACACCAGGAGGAATTTCAGGTCCTATTCCATAGCCAAAGTCAAAGCCAGGTATAAGAGTGTTGTTAATACATTATTTTAAAGTTGATTGCCTTTTCCTACTTTGCCCAGCATGGTTCTTGGTTTGGAATGACTACTGACTATAAACTGACGCTTACTTTTGCAATAAGAATTAATCCAGAAAGAAAATCAATTTTGATGGCCTGTCTGTTCCCCACCCCCACCCCACAGGTTGAGCAGTTTTTCAGGAAGATCTATCAGTTTCTGTTCCCTCTCCACCACGATGAGCACAGCCATCTCCCCAGCAGTGAACAGCACACTCAGGAAGACGCCCAAGTGACCCACATGGAGAAGGCGTTCCTCCAGTTGACTGCGACTGCGGAATCCCTCTTTAACAGGAGTCTTTCCGTCTTCAAACAGATGCAGCAAGAGTTTGACCAGGCTTTCCAATCCGATTTCATGTCAGAAACCAACTTAATGGAACCTCACCTTTTTCCAGCTTTATCCAAAGAGCCAACAGAAAAAGCAGATCTTGGCCAAAGCTGGGATATCCCCAACTTCTTCCAGCTGTTTTGTAATTTCAGCCGCTCTATTTATGAAAGTCTCCGTGAAGCAGTTACCCATACTCTGCGTGCAATAGAAGATTCGCCAAAACATGACGAAGGCAAGTATTAAACGATCACTTTTACTTAGATGCCTATGCTGCAGGCAATTTTTGTTTAGCTTAGAAAATGGTAGACAGTCACTCTTTAGCATTTCTTGAACTGACAATCTGTAGATAACCAAAGTTTCAGAGCCTCTTAAAAGGAGTTTTCAAGTCAAACACTATCCTTCTCCCATCATTGTTGAGAACTCTAGTGCTATTTTCTGTCTTGAGAGCAAATTTTCAAAGCTAAAAGAAGAAAATGCTATTAGGGTGAGAACTTGAAAAACACAGATCCCTCTTTTCTTTCTTTGATGTTTTTTTGGTACTAGGGATTGAACCCAGGGTGCTCTACCACTGAGCTACATCCTCAGCCTTTTTTATTTTTTTATTTTGAAAAAGTCTTGCTAAGTTGCCCAGGCTATCCTTGAACTTGCAATCCTCCTGCCTCAGCTTCCCCAGTCGCTGGGGTTATAGATGTGTGCCACTGGGCCTGTCTCCTTCCTTTTTAAACTCTCACTTAAAGAGAGACTTGTCTCTATTCTATTTGAACATCATGGATTTTCTTTAAAGTTCCTTTAGGATCTTCACCTCCCGTTTTGTAAAGAAGCCTAGTCTCACATGTAACCGGGTCAAATTCAGTGTTTTGACTTTCCTGAGTCACTACTATAATTCCCGAGATCATAAAATATTTGCCCCAAACTGGAGAAGATGCTCATAGGCAAATCCCAAAATACAGAAATAGAAATTAGATACGAATTGTCTTCTTCAAATACTAACCATGGCCCCATAATATTCCATGTTGGGAAAAAATGCTGCTTTATGTTTCAAGGCAGGGGATATCTTCTCCAAGCTTCTATGGAGTAACTTTAGACATAGCATTTCAGAAATGAGCATTGCTGTGTGGGCAATCTCCATTTCCCTGGACTTATTTCTTTGAAACCACAGACCTCTCGACTCTGAAATGAAAAATAAAATGGGCTCCTTCTGGCTGACTATTTTCCACTTATATCAGTAGTAGCTGGCAACATGTGGGTCAGATTCTCAACGTTGCTATGCATAACATAACAGGCTTCAATAGAGGAGGGGTTTACCCCACACATTTCAGAAACTCAAGCCAGGAAACAAATCCTTCAGATTCCATTGTTCCATGAGCAGAAAACAGCTATTATCACTAGAATTGTTGGGGTCTATTTCAGGGTCTGGTGGATTTTTCTCCTAAGTCAAATATTTTGTCTGGTGTCCCATTCTGAGGTTCCAAATTCATCCAATATTTAGGAGAAGCATCTGGGCAGTAGATTAAATCTTTCAATGCTGGGGTGCTATCACATATATTTGTCTGATCTTTTAAATAGATATCAATTATCTTGGAATAACATTCAGAATGTGTTTATTGGAACAAAATGGCAACCCTCCCTTCATATTGCATAGTGACCTTACATATGTGCCAGGATTAGGACTGATTCAGACATATCCAGATCTAAATAATCTCCCCACTACTGCAGCTCCCTCCGACCCCATTGACTTAATAAATGTGGGTCACCACTATTTGCCTGAGGTTCCTTCTCCTTCACACATCTGGGGACCAGTCCCCACTCTCGCAACGCCCTCCATGCTGGCCCCTCGGTACCACCTTCACCTCTGTGATAACCTGGATATCCAGGGTCCTCTGTAAATGCAAATGTTAAAAATGAAGTGGCAAACAAAAAGCCTATGTTTCCCTAATATACTTTTCTTTCTCCAGTATCCTTTCCCTTGCCAGACAGTGTATAGAAAGCTCAGCAGAGGAAGTGTTTGGGTCTCAGATGAGAAAATATGGACTATCTGTCAAGAGTCAGGCTGTAGGGCATTTTTAAGTGGTTTCCGTCATTCTATTAGGTGTTTGGGAAGGAATAAATCAGTTGTCTCTAGAAAATCTACCTAATGAGGAGACATTTTGAGCTTTGCTCCTTGGTAATGAGCTGAAAGATGTCTGCTCAAAGATATCTACTCCTTAATCCCCGGAACCTGTGACTCTGTTGTGTTATAAGACAAAGGGAAAGCAAGGTTAGCAATGGGTTTTTAAAAACATTTATATATATATATATATATATATTATAGGAATGAATATATATAATCTGGCTGGGTGCAGTGGTGCACAACTGTAATCCCAGTGGCTCTGGAGGATCTCAACATCAAAGCCAGCCTTAGCAAAAGCAAAGTGCTAAGCAACTCAGTGACAGCCTGTCTCTAAATAAGATAAAATATAAAATAGGACTGGGGATGTGGCTCAGTGGTCGAGTGTCCCTGAGTTCAATACCCAGCACTTTCCCCCCACACACACACACAAAAAGATTGCTAATCTGTTGACTTTTGAATTTTAAATTTAGAGATTATTTTTAATTATGGATGGATTCAATGTAATCACAAAGCTCCTTAAATGTGGAAGGGGGAGTCAGAAAAGAATTGTAGAGAAAGCAGCAGGGGAAATATTTTGTCCTTCTTTGTTGGCTTTGAAGATGGAAGAAGGGGGCCTGAGCAAAGGAATGTAGGTGTCTCTAGAACTGGACATGGTATAAAAATATATTCTTGCCTAGAGTGGCCACAACAAACTAGCCTTGCTGACACCTTGATGTTAGCCCAGTGAGACCCAGTTCAGCCTTCTGACATAGAGAACTTAAAAGAATAAATTTGTGGTAATCTGTTATAGCAGCAAACGAATATATACCTCTTGTCAATTACAGTAGTCAAGACTGACTACTGTGTGTCTGTCAACCATCATGGATGGGCCTTATTGGTCATAATCATCCTAAGAGCCAAAATTAGAAAAATAGCTAAAACTAATTAATGGACAACCATTAAAAGGAGAGAGGAAATAATGTTTAAAACCTGAAATATTTTGATATTTCATGCTATTTTTTAATTGTATTGACTTTATATACATTGTTAATTCTCCTAGGGGGGAAAAAACCTGTTTCTTAAAATTTGATCTGCTTTAGGTATTTTCCTAAATCATAAATCCATTATTTATAACTATATATTTCAAAAAAAAAGAATAGTAGTATAATAAAAGAAATGCCTACCACCCAGTTTAAGACATTGCCAGTATCTTTGGAATTCCCATGTACTTCCCAATTATAATTTTAAATTTTTGAAATAATTATTAAAGGTTTTGTTTGGGTTTGGTTTTAATGGTGCTAGAGCTGGAACCCAAGGTTTGAAGTATACTAGGCAAGCACTTTACCACTAAATTACATTCCCAGCCTCAGAGGGCTTTCTTTCTTTCTTTCTTTCTCTCTTTCTTTCTTTCTTTCTTTCTTTCTTTCTTTCTTTCTTTCTTTCTTTCTTTTTCTTTCTTTCTTTCTTTCTTTCTTTCTTTCTTTCTCTCTCTCTCTCTCTCTCTCTCTCTCTCTCTTTCTTTCTTCCTGTTTATTAGAAGTCTAAAGAGACAAGTGGTTTACAAGCACCTAGTTACTTAACCCTATTGATATTAGAAATAAAAATGATAAAAATAAGACACACTGGGGCTGGGGTTGTGGCTCAGTGGTAGAGCGCTCACCTAGCATGTACAAGGTGCTGGGTTCGATCCTCAGCACCACATAAAAATAAATAAATAAAATAAAGGTATATATATATATAGATAGATAGATAGAGAGAGAGAGAGAGAGAGAGAGAGAGAGAGAGAGAGATACTAGCTTTAAAATAATTCAAATGTACAAAGGAATAAAAAACGCAACCCACCCAGTTTCCTATCCCATCCAGTCCTTCTTCTAAGAGACATTTATTAGCAATCCCTCATGCTGCTTTCTAGAAAATGAAATCACATGCATTCATATGTGTGTGTGTGTGTGTGTATGTGTGTGTGCATGTGCTAATAATAAATTCCTCGTAACCAGATTCCTGGATTTGAGGGTATGTGCAATCTTTAATAGATGTCAAATGGTCCTAGCACATGATTGCAACAATATGTGCCCTTATGTTTGAATATAGAAAAAAGATTTTGAAGCACTGGTAAGAAAAAGCAAAGACATCGTCTCCTGTTGTTTAAAGTGCAAACTCTAATGACACTAATGTATAAATGTTGTGTTTCCTGCAGGCTCTGACCAGGGAACACAACAGGGAGGACTGATTTCAAAGACATTGTCTGAGCAGGACAAAGGACCGTGTGCAGAACTTGGACAAAATTTTTCTGGATGTTTCAGATTACAAGAAAAATGCCAAAAATGTCAGGATTACTTATCAGAAGGTAAATAATTATTTTTTTCCAGAGTTTCAACAGTATTTGGTTAAAATCTCCCTTTCACAAGTTTTGTGGATTGATTTGCTTTCTTTCAGGTTCTTTTCTGCCCTCTCATTTCCACCTGGCAGCATTCATTGCATGTAGGTTTATAAATTGTTATTATTCAAAGTATGTTGAGTCACATTTTTACTTTCTTTAATTCTTAACTGTTCCTGTGAGGCTATTATTATTATTATTATTATTATTATTATTATTTAGTTGTAGATGGACACAATAACTTTACTTAGTTTTTTTTTTTAAAAAACGTGGTGCTGGGGATCAAACTCAGTGCCTCACATGTGCCAGACAAGCGCTCTACCACTGAGCCACAACCCCAGCCCTCCTATGAGACTTTTTATGATTAAAGACCAAGCAAACACTAATATAAGCAAAAGAGAAAAACATTGAGCAAATCAGGTCAACTCTTACCACAAAGAAAAAGAAAAATCCATCAATGAAGAAAAACTTCCCATTAAATAAATCAATTTTTAGCCAAGTGGGTTATTATTTATTATTTTTTTAAGTAGCATTAGCTCTTTCTATTTGGAGGGTTAATTGACCAATTAGTGTTTGCTTATTAATTTTCAGTACTATTTTACTATTGAGCTATATCCTCAGTCTTTGTTTTTCTTTCTTTCTTTTTTTTTCTTTTTGTTTTTCTGAGACTATATCTTACTAAGTTGCTAGAACTTGTGATCCTTCCACCAAGGCCTCCCAGGTAGCCAGGATTACTGCGTACCATGACTACTGCCTTTCCTGATGGCCTGGCTGAATAGTTAGTATTTAAATAGGAAAAGTGGCTCTTTTTTTTACAGCTCCCAGCAAGCCTTTCCCTCCCAGATTTGGCCAAGAGTTGACCTTCTCCAGGCAGGAGATCCTTCCTCCTGTCCTCCTCCCTTCCTCCCTTTCTCTGTCTTCCTCCTAATAAAGTTACTACTCTCATCCCAACAGAGCCAGGTCAAAATGTTTCTTACTAAAAAACAAGAAGAGCTTTTGGTTCCTATGCTTTTGCATTTTATCTTGCTAAAGGCCTAAGGAAGAACATTTCAAAAGTGTAGATAATGACTTGTAGAAGGAAGTTGGAAGATATAGTAAGAGCAACACAAATCAGTATCTTCATAAATTATCCTACCCTATTAGCTTGCGACTTTGGGTCAGTGAGTCAGTTTTGCTATCTAGGACTCAACTGAGTAGTCTTTAAAGAAAAAATTTTCTCCAAAGCAATTTCAGAGAAGATGGAATCATAAGTTGCTAAGTGCAAAATAATAGCTCTTGCACCCTTCATTTCCACCCAATCCAAAGACCACTGGAGTAATATTTACACTTGCAACAAGAGCAGCTCCTTCCAACCAGCAAAAATTCTTTTATCTCCCATTTGCTTTCTCTCCACAGCCCTCTAACAGTGAGTAATACACCTAATTTAACTGTTTAGAAAAAAGGGAGAATACATTGTTCTGATCTTGAAAAGGCTAACATAAACTGGGTGTGGCAGTGTATTCCTGTAATCCCAGCAGTTTAGGAGGCTGAGGCAGGAGAACTGTAAATTCAAAGCCAGCCTAGGCAATTAGCAAGGCCCTAAGCAACTTAGCAAGGCCCTGTCTCTAAATAAAATATAAAAAGGGCTGCGGATGTGGCTCAATAGTTAAGCACCCTTGGCTTCAATGCCTGGTACCAAACACACACACACACACACACACACACACACACAAACACATAAACCATACATTGTCAGATACACCATAAGACTAATAAAGATTATTTTTAGGTTTTTTTTAATTGGTTGTTCACAACATTACAAAGCTCTTGACATATCATATTTCATACATTAGATTGAAGTGGGTTATGAACTCCCAATTTTACCCCAAATGCAGA